GCTCCCATAGAGGCAATGCGATAAGAGTCCCACGCCCGCTGTGACGCAAAGTTGGCGATGACCGGCACCACCCGGCGCAAAATACGTACCCAAGATGCACCACTGATATAGATTAATTTTTTTAATAAAGCCGATGGGCCTAGTGAGCTAACTGGCTAAGCCAATTATCTATTTTGAGGGTGCGCTCTGTGCGCGGCTAATTTTGGTTTCTCCGCTGTCCTTCTCACCGGCCCGCTTGCTCCCGCTCGCAGGTCCTGGTGGTGGTCCTGGTGCTGCACGGCGCCCTGGGCGAAGAGCCCGCCGACACCAGCTCCAGGGGCAGCGGCAGCTTCTCCGTCATCGGCACCGGGGAGGCGGTGCGGCCCGAGACGGCCGCCCCGGCCGCCCCGGCCCCCGGCGCCCAGATCAAGAGCAAGGCCCAGTACACGCGAACCGCCATCCACGTGGCGCGTAGCCTCGACCCCAGCAACGAGGAGACCATACCGGTGAGCATCGAGCACGATGACGAGGACCCGAGTGTCTGAGTGTCGCGCACCTGCAGGTGTGCGAATGCCACACACCTTGTTGATGTGTAAATGCCGCACAGCTGTGCGTCTGAGTGTAAGAATGTGAAGCCCAATGTGTGCGACATTCACACAGTTGAGTTTCCTGTGCACGCTGGGCGTTCGGTAGGGTGCCCAGCTCCGCCCGCTTCCAGGGCCTAAAACCGACGTTGGCGTTCTGTTGTGCGCAGGTTCGCACCAAGACCGGGGACGTCGCCAGCATCATCGTGAAGCGTCGCCAGCGCACCGGCGCCGGTAACGGAGTGACGGCCGGGCCGCCGCCCTACCCGGTGCGCAGCGCCGTCGCGGCCAGGCTGGCCAAGGCCGTGCCCGGCGCGTCCAGCAGCGTGCGCGTCCCGGACCCCGTCGACATCCAGTCCTCCACCGTGCTGGTCAAGCCCGCCGAGGAAGGCAAGGTGCAGCAGAGGGCGCGCTCCATGGTGCAGGTGAGTCGCAGTCGCGAAACCCCATCTCGCTCTGGGTGCGGTTCAGGCCGGAATGCCCAAACGTTAGGTCAAAGTCGCTAACGCGCCGTTGTTCACAGGTGGACCTCGACAACGCCCCCGTCATCGAGGGCGTGAGGGTGCCCGACGACGAGAACGACAAGAAGTACAACTGGCGGGGGGCGAGGGTCATCAACAACGTCCTGGTGCCCAACAACGGCTCCGCGGGGCTTCCCGCAGAGCCGTTGGTCGGGGCCGGCGACAAGGCCAGGGTCAACCAGCCGCCGTCGCCGCCCGCCGGGCCGCCCGCGCCACCCCGGCTGAGCGCCGGCCCAGTCGACACAGTCGCCGCAGCAGCAGCAGCCGCCCCCAACCTGCCCGAGTCTCTCAAGTTGGACGCCGTCAAGAAGCTGGCAGAGAGCACCGCCCAGTCGCCCTGGATCCCGACTTCCCCCGACGGCGCCAACGTGGTGACCCCGCCACTCCTCACCCCCCAGGTCAGTGTGCCGGACACATGTCAATGTTGCATGGTATGGTGAGGTCTAGTCCTAGTTGGTCGCACGATATAGCTAGTGATACAAACCCAGCGTGGATTACGCATTGCATGCTCACCTTGCCGTCCATTTGCCGTTCCCCGCGCCATGATATAACAGTCTCGCTCCAGGTGGCTTTGCATCGGCTTGCGTGCGCCAGGTGAAGTACGCTGTCCATCCCCGTTAGCCACCTGGCGCCACCTGGAAGGGAGACGCACATTGCCATGGCGCGGGTTGAACGCGACTTTCTTTCACCGGGCGAGGACGGTCCTGCTCGTGTTCGATCTTGGTAAAGACAGCGAACTTGTGATTGTCCGCCCACAGGCAGCGCCAAAGTCCACGGACCTCGGCTACGGTCGTCCGGGTCCGCCGCAACCCAAAGGGCGACGCAGGGGCGACACTAGATCCGCCTAGCGACGCGGCTGGCGACGGCTCTCTCGGCACTCATGCATGTGGTTCATCTGCGTACAGCACAAAGTCTGGTCGAGATCAAAGTGTAACCAATAAATCAAACCGCCACAACCGTCTCTTTTCCTTGGCGCCCTCGCCGCCTCGCTTCCACAACAGCCTGCCAGCGAACACCCCGCGTGTGTGCGCGGGCCACGCAGGGCCCGCCGCACCCAGCGCCACCCTGTACTGACGCGTCCTTCTTGCCGACAGGTTCACGGCCTCCAGAGCCGCGCCGAGCAGCAGCGCCGCATCCTCGAGTACATCCGCGCCGTCAACCAGCTGGAGGCGGGACGGGCGGCGAGCCGCGGCAGGATGATGCGCAACAACGAGGTGAGCAAACAACTGCAGCAGCAGCACCGCTTCAACATCAGCCTGACGGTTTGTGATCTGACACGAGCCTGTCCTGCAGCAGTCACCCGCCGAGGCCCGCGCCCTGCAGTACCAGCCCGCCCTGCTGTACTCGGCGCAGAGCACTAACCCGACCAGGGTCGTGTCCTTCGAGGAGGGCGTGCGCACGCCAGTGCTGCAGTACGCGCACCCGGAGCTCGGCGTCCAGCCCGCCAAGGTGGCGCCGCCGGCGCCGCCCGCGCCCGCCAGGAACCAGGACCGCGCCCTCGCCTACTTCGGACAGGTGGGTCTGACGGCCGAGCTCGCCGAGGAGGTCCGAGGCACGGTGTAGTGAACCCCCTCGCACTACATCGTGTTCCGAGGGTTTCCTGGACTGACAGACAACTCTCGCCCCCCACGCAGGACATCCACGCCGACCGCAGTCCGTTTGCACGCGAGCCGGGCCTAGACCAGCCCGAGGAGCCCGCCAAGCCCACCAGCGCCAAGCGGTCGTCCCCGGATGCCCAGACCCTCGCCGTCAACGCCGCCAGCACCGCCACCAGCACCGGCCTGTCCAGGTGGGTGACGAGCAAAACAAGAGGAGACGCGGCTACGTTTGATGCGTTTGATACTCGTTTCTTACATTTCTGAATTGTGCCCACCCACAGCCTGCCGCAGCGGCCCAAGAAGGTTCAGCCGATTGAAGACTCATACGGCCTGGCGTCCGACAAGTACATCAAGCGATTCCCGCACGCCGCGTCCTACAAGGACTACCGCGACTACAAGGACGACTACGGCCACGGGTACCGGTACAACAGCTACCGCGCCGACCCGCACTACAGCAGCTACTCGCCATCGCCATTCGTAAGTCCACTCACCTCACTGTGCTGTTCGTCGAGCTCGGCCACGTGTTGGTGGTGCACTGACGGGTGACTTGCTTGCGCAGCTGGAGGACGCACGGCCCTTCTGGGTGCGCCTGTCGGACTCCATCCAGGACAGCATGCGCACGGGCATGGAGCGGATGAGCGACCTGGCCCGGCCCGTCGTCGACCCCCTGGTGGAGGCGTCGGCCAAGATCTCGCAGAACCTCGGCTTCACCTCGGGCGGCGCGAACGGCGTCGGCGGGGCGACGCGCGGCGCCCACGGCGCACAGGACCGCCTCGGCAGCGTCGGCGCCGCCGTCGCGACGCCCTCCATGCTGCTGCCCGCCCTGGGGCTCGTCGCCGGGGGAGCAGCGCTAGGACTGGGTGCCGTCGCCGTCGGCCGTTACCTGGACGTGGACGTCATGGCCAAGCGGAGCGAGGCCAGCGATGAGGACGACGAGGATGTAAGCAGACCCCACCCCCTGCAGCAGCACACAGGCTGGCCCCGGACCCGACTCACCTTTGCGTCCCGTTCCAGGCCCTGGAGATGGAGCACAAGCGCGCGCTCAACGCCCTGCGCGCCGGACAGCAGCGATACCTCGACGCTAGCCACACGGACGGACTTGACGGACGCCAGGTGACAGACGCCGAGGTCGTGGCGCAGGTGATTGACGTCGTCAACAAGCAGCAGCACAAACAGCAGCAGCAGCAGCATCACCACCAACACCAGCACCAGCAGTAAGCAACTCTGCAACAGAACAAACGAGAACGAGACGCACCCTTGACCCGTTCAAGACTGTACTCACGAGTGTTTGTCGCAGGGCCCACTCGAGGACGAGGAGAGACAGCTCAGCCAACACGCTGGACTCGTTCGAGCTGGCAGAGGAGCGCCGGCAGCTGGCGCTGCGCGCGGCCCAGCTGGGGGCGCCCACGGCCGTCTGGGGATCCACGCCCTGCGCGCAGAGGGTGTTCTGCGACGTGCTGAGCAGGGAGGGTCCAGATTCGGCGCTGCTCATGGAGAAGAAGATGGCGACCCTGCTTGCCATGTAAGTGCCGGGCCGGGGAGGCGCCCGTGTAGCGGGCACGCCCGCCGCACACCGCTGCCGCGCGGGCCTGCCTACCGCGCGCCTGCTGACCCGCCCGCTCCGCTCACCCGCCCCGCTCTGTTGCAGGCTGCCCAGGGTCGCGCCCGAGGCCGCCGCCGTGCACCTGTCCGCCGTCATGGGCGCCGTCAGACGCGGGGACTGCTCCGTGTTCGTGTGCCCCCTGACGAGCGCGCCCCGGCGGTGAGCTCCTCGAGGAGGAGCCCTAACGTCGGCTCTTCGTCCCTGCTAGGACTACCAAAGATTACAGGCAGCGCCCTGACTCCAGGGTCCTAGAGCCTGGAGCACGCCGAGGGAGGAAGACAGAAGACGTACAGCTGGTGTTCTTCGCCTGGCTCCCTCTCGTCCGATTGCCTGACAGCCGAGGACCCGCGCGAAACATGGCTTTTCCGCGCTTGTCCGGCTGCGGGCGGGGCATCGTGCTTGACAGTAACATGGCAGAAGATCTTTGATATGTAATGTTACGTTATGTAAAGGTGGTTTTGGTTTGTTTGATGAAATTCCTGAGAGGCGGGGACTGGTTATCAGGACCTGCTGTTTTCCTACAACCGATCACGACACACCATGCAATAGGACATTTGTGTAAATCAAAAGTGACCAGCCAGTGAAAACTCCAAAATA